ATACGTAACGCAATATCTACATATGGGTAGACATCTGCTATATTGTGATCTTCAATGATTTTGCACAACTCTAAAATAGATTTTGGTGATATATTTCCTGGTAAACTTTTTAAGTATCCATGAAAGTGAATACTTTCATTTATAAATGATCCATCGAGATCTTCAGGATACTGACTCTGTAATTWGGTAGCTTTCTTTCTCACTTCAGTTACTGGTAACTTTATTAAATAATATCATGGAGCACGGACGTACTAGTCAGAGCAACCGCAGCGTAATTAATATTTAATAGTCACCGCCATAATAGTTAGTACAATATATTACAATATTGACGATTGAAGACTGACGGGTTTCGGGGTGTCTCTGAATTTCCCGTAGAATAATTTCCTGATATTTACAATATACATCACAGATTAAGTCATCGCTACAACTATAGAATATACAAGTCATACAACATACTATACTATAAAACCGCTATCGTGTTTTATAAATAACCAATTTTTATTTCTGAAATTCCACGTGTTTGGTTGAGTATTATACATATAATAATTGAGGCATTAAGCACAAATAGCTTATCATATAAAACTATAATTATTAGCTTTTTCAAATAAAAAAGTGATRCCCCTTGAAAATTATKCCCGTGGCGATTGCCCCCTCTCACCCCCTCTAAATACGCCACTGTGTAATAACAGTAAAACGTTATCGCAATCGCAATCGCATTAATAATGTTATCGTGGACCCAACCGCGGATAGTGAGGGATTACTGTAATTAATTTTCTACTACATTTATAAACGTATTGTGCATCAACTCCTATATTAATGATTTTCTATTTTCTATTATATATATTGACACAAAAATCTAGAATGTCATTGTATCACCTTTTTTACTGATTGAAATGRTATAAAAAAATAAATATTTTAATTTTATAAAACTTAGGTTTTTCTAAGATTTGTCTGAACCACGGTTATCTACACAGATTGGCGCACGGCGTGTTAACGCTGGTCGATGCGGCGAATGCAGTGAACTATTAGCGCTAGTAGTCAGTGGGCCTACGTTTACATTTGTTTGTACTGGGAAAACGAAGATTTTTTATTCAAATTCGTTATTATCGTCCAAACGGCTAAAATTACGAATTAAAAACATTCCACAATTATTGTAGATCGTGAAAAGGTGTTAAATGACTGACATYAGCAAATAATAATTAAAATTAATTGGTAAAAATATTTTTAATGATAAAATGAGCATAAAAAAATATATACCTAAATAATGTTTGATTTAGTTAACTAAGGCAGTGTTTATTATAAAAAAATGCATACATTTTGTATCTCTTATTTATTTTATAGTGTGTTGTTATTATTTGTTAAATTAAGTAATTAATTAGATCACGTATATTATGTACTGTTACATCCTACACCACCACAAGCTTAGCTTAAAGGTGTAGGTAATTTTTATTATTTCTTTAAATACTTTGTTTGTATTGTGTTTTTCAAATTATAAAAAAAAATGTATAAATTCAATTCAAATGATTAATGACTACAAGTCTCTAATATGTTATTATTAGTTTGTTTATTACTTATTCTTTATGTAATAAAACCTATTTAGTAGTTGGTTAATACTTAAGTTGATGTTAGTAGAAAGTTTCCCTTCATACTTATTGACCAAGATATCTCCAGGTTAGGTGTCGGTTGTGTTCTTATCACCTTTTCACGGACTAAAATAATTGAGGAATGTTTTTAATTCGTAATTTTAGTCGTTTGGGCGATATAACGAATTTGAATAAAAATCTTCGATTTACCAGTAGGTATATACAAATGTAAACGTAGGCCCACTGACTACTAGCGCTAATAGTTCACTACGGTCACCGCATAGACCACCCGTCTGCATTAGCATCATAGTGGCGTGCGCCAACCTGTGTAGATAACCGTGGTATGAACATATTGACATTTGACTTACCATACCTACCTTCACCTCTGTGAAGTAGGTTAGTAGGTAATTAATTTTACGCGAAAACGTGTTTGAAAAAATAGCAATTAATGTTATGGATGAGACGAGTTCCACGCAATACATTAATATTTTCAAATTGTAAATTATATCACATTATTGTGGATATTATTCAGGGGTACTACGTTCAACATCAGTGATTTAATACATTGAAATTATTGTTAAGCTTAGGTTTAATGACCAGATATTATTGTTAAGCGGCCACCGATAGATCAGTCCCAAAGTCAGAACTTGGCTCAAAATTTGAGAAAGTGAAATTACTTACATAACCACCCATTCAAAGTGTTATGTTTATACACTAAATATTTTTTTCCTGTAGACAAGCTATGATTGTGTCACACTCAGTGTTATATTCTTAGACCATTTTGTGACTGTTCAATTAAAGTTGTGAAATTATGATAGTTTTTTTATTATTATTATTACTATTATTACTGCTATAAAATGTAAATAATCGATGACATAAGGTTCGATTGCTCCCGRCAACAAATGAGTAATGACTCTCTATAGTTATACTTTGAATCAAAATAGTAAAAAAAAAGCTAAGAGTTCCAAATTTTGTGGGGAGGGAAACCACATTATTACAATTATTGGTATTAAGTATCACGCTCAGTTATTTATTCGCTAATACGCTAATCTTGTATATTATACAATTTACCTCCACCATTCAACAATATTCAACTAAAAAATGTAATATAACATCAACTCGGCAGGAGCCCGGATAGCTCAGTCGGTAGAGCATTAGGCTTTTAACCTAAGGGTCCAGGGTTCGAGTCCCTGTCCGGGCGGGATTTTTTTCCACCGTTTTTCTCCGAAATAACCTTCACTGTTCTGTGTTGATTACATTATGCTATGCCAGTAAAATGATAACATTTTTTATTTGATAAATAGCCCAAGGCTGGGCATTAACGCGTTAATAAGTTAAAGTTAAGTTAATTTAACTTTTTAACTAAATAAGTTAGTTTTTTTTTATGTTTATTAACTTAATTAATAACTTAAGGAGCTTTCGAATTAACTTTTAATTAACTTGAGTTAATTTTACWTTTAAACAAGTTAAGTTAATTWAATTTAAKTTTGTGAACTATTGTAGGAATACRAATTGCTGGTAGGTACACATTTTATAAGGTTATAAGTATGCTAACAAAATGTGTACTGTAAGCTTTTGCACACATAAAATAGTAATAGTTCTTTGGTCTAATAACATGAACAATTTTAGGTACCAATTATTTTAATTTTACTTATTAGAAAACAAGAAACTTTTTTTAACTTAACTTGAGTTAAAAAGTTAATATTAAATTTTGGTTAACTCTTAACTTAATTCAATTGATAGAACATTTTGAATTAACTTTTATCGATTAACTTGATTTAGATTTTAACTTAACTTAACCGAGTTAAAAAAAATCATTAACTTGCCCAGCCTTGATAAATACCGCTGAAAGATTCTATAAAAAAGACACTCTGTGAATTGTACGCAGTCTGAAAAAGTCAGAGATATTTCGTCTAAAATCAAAATTGTTGCATAAAAACGATCAATTTTGTTCAGATTATTATTTTGTAATGTAATAACATTATTTGAAAATTATGGAGACGACTCATCCATGAATTATACAAGCAAATAATTTGTGTAATTTTATATTATATTTGTTTTTTAAATACTTTAATGATATAAAACTACACAGTACATCAACAGTACYCATAGGAATTAACTCACATGTATATTTTATTGTTATTGTGTGTTTGGTTGGCATGATTAGCATGACCTACCCTTTTTACGAATCACGAATAAAATTAAAATTTAGATTCTAATACTGATTAGATAATTGAGTTCTTTCTTGATGAATATTATTAAAACAGTTATTTCTAAGATTTTATTTTTATTTAATTAATTTAAATTAATAATGACGTACAAATCCACTACTTAAATTACATGATGATTCTTAGAAATATGAGTGCGTGATATAATAATATTATAAAGCTTTAAATATTAAAAAAAATATATATATATATAAATATTTTTAAATACATTTTTGATACATTTTATTTGACGTTATCATATTTTATTATACAAAATAATTTTTATAATAAATATAATTATATTTCTATAATAATATTTTAAAGATGTTCCATTCATAATAAATAAAGGAAAGAAATATGTTAATTATTATAGTATTTTAATACCTACTCTTATTTGATATTAAAGTAGTTTTAAATGATATATTATTAAATAATATGTTATTGACTACAAGAATAAATTAAATATCTAGGATTCAAAATAAAGTTAGTTTATCGTTGAAACTATGAACTTTTAAAATCCTCAAATTAATAGGTATTCATTTAAAATAATTAAGAATGTAAGAAATGTAAAAAGAATTATTAAATTGTTCAAGTAATTTATCAATTGTGTTGATCTAATTTGTTTTTATGAATCAAAATGATACATTATAAAAATATGCAATACATATTATGTAACTTAATTTTAATATTTTATTCCTATGTAAAACAATATTGCATTATTTTACCTAGAGAAATAATTTTTAAAATTCTATGACATTATTTCAAMTAGTTACCTTTAATTCATTCTAAGATTAAATTAAGTACCTGAAATATTATTTTTCCTGATTGAATTATATAAAACAAATTAAATTCCGCTATAAATCATTTGCTTTTAAATGTTTTCAAGTATTTTGAAAACATATTTTACCGTCCCACAAACAGGACTTAGCGAGCCCGCTGTTTTAATCCTTAATACGATTAACAATTGCTGAAATTTTGTTCATCGTTAATTATGACATCACTAAACTGTGTGTAATGTCTGCAATAATGTGCATTATATTATTTGTAACATTGAAAAGATGTGATCTATTAAAAAATATATTTATTTATAGTCATATGAATGTATTGTAGTGTGTCGTGTGATGTATTAAATTATAGAGCCTGAGATTCATTGATTCTTTAATAGTTGCGTTTGTCATATATTTGGTGGAAATTTAGTTAAAAATCTACATTATTTACATCCACCAGACGGGGGTTTAGGCRTTGATCCACATCTACCTGACGGGKATTTAAATGTTGACCCACAGCCACCAGAAGATGGTTTTGGTGGTTGCCCACATCCATCAGACGGGGGTTTCGACGTTGACATAGATCCACCAGATGGTGATTTTGATGATGATCCACAGCCACTAGATGGAAGTTTTGGTATTATGTCACGCCCACCTGATAGAGGTTTCAGTGGTGATCCACAATTTCCATACGAAGAATTCGGCGTTGAATCACGTCCACCAGACAGGGGAATCGGTGGTGATCCACATCCACCAGATGAAAGTTTCGATGTTGACCCGGATCCACCAGATGGGAGTTTCGACGTCGAACCACAACCACCAGATGATGGTTTTGGTGTTAATGCACATCCACCAGACAAGGGTTTCGGTGGTGACCCAGATTTACCAGACCGGGGTTTCGGTGGTATTCTACACCACCCACCAGATGGAGGTTTAGGCGTTGACCCAGATCYGCTAGGTGGGAGTTTCGACGTTGAACCACAACCACCAGATGATGGTTTTGGTGGTAATGCACATCCACCAGATGAAAGTTTCGATGTTGACCCGGATCCACCAGATGGAAGTTTCGGTGTTGAACAACAACCACCAGACGCGGATTTCAGTGGTATTCCACACCCACC